AGACTTTCAGTTTCCAGCAAGTGTTTATTTCAGTCGACCTGTGATCCAAAAGTATTTATAGTGCCCAAAGACTGGAAATAAGAGGTGAATGGGGGAAGGAAAGGGTTAACTATGCTCTTGAAGATGGGTCAAATGAGTAGGTAGTTGGGCAAGCCAACGTAATGTTTGTCTTGGCATTAGTGATTTGATGCTGAAGCTACAACCATCTCCAGTGATGTTGTGTGCAGTTCCTGTCAGGGGTGGGAGGTTGGGATGCCCCCAGCACTGCAACAGATGCTGATTAATGGCACCCAGGTGAAATCAAGGCTACCCAAGATGGTCCATATGCTCTTCATCAACCCACAGCTGTTTTGCAATGAGTGTCTCACAGCAACAACAGGAGCAACCTGGACATATTCTCACAGCTGAAATGGTGACTTGTCCTGCTGTTCGTAGGTCTTTCCTTGCATGTCTGCTGTACAAAGCTTCCCATTTATGTGCTGTGGCCATGCTGTCAAGGTATAAGTAATCACTTTCATACTTACTGAGCTGCCTGGTCACCAAGGTGTCATATCTGATGGGCAACAGATGTCTGCTTTCTTCCAGGGCTTACAGCATTGTGTTATTGCTGTTATTTGCTCTGGCTCCATGCAGCCAGGCAGTGGAGGAGGGGCAGGTACTAATGCCTGCTGAATGAATGGCACCTACAGTCTTCCTTTTGCTTTGGGGGGGGTCGGTTTTGAGTGCTTGAATAATACCCATTGCTCACAGATTCAGCGTGTTTCCTCAGGAATGAAATCGCATCTCCTGCAGTGGAAATACCTGGCTTATTCAGATAGCCTTTATCCTGGCACAGTAGTGTTCAGCTAAGGGAGACTTGTGTTGCTCAAATGTCCCTGTGCAATGCTACGGAAGACAAAACAACCTGTGAGTGAGATGAGGACCGTGTCTTCTGAGGATGTGCCGCGAGTCCGACGTGCTCAGGGACAAAGGAGGGAGTTGTGCCTCCCATGGTGCTCCGCAACGGTTCATGCACAGTTTGTTGGGGATGGAGAGAGTGAGGTGGTGCCCCTGACTCAGCTCCAGTGCTGCTGCATCCCTTTTTGCCTTTGAAGAAGTGCTGGGCAGCCTTAAACTTCCTTGGATGCCCTCCGGGAAGCCTGGTTTAATGCCTCATGTGAAGGACATGATGCGAGATGTTAAAAACATTTTTTAAAGCCTGGAGGTGACCTATGAGGCTCCAGGAGGCCGATTCCTGTGTAGCAGCAAGCAGCCACTTTGTAGCTGACACCTCAGAGCTGCTGAGCCTCTTGATACAGCAGGTATCCCTCTGTGGAGAGGACTTGGCTAATCCCAAGTTGTTCCAATGGGCTTCCAGGGGAGCTGCTGGGAAGTGAGTGATGGGGACAGTTGTGGCTCAGGTTAAACTGAATCCAGACCCTGAGCCAAATGCTTCCTGCTGACTCTTAAGTAGCCCCCAGTCAGTACTTTAAGCTGTTTGCCCCATGCTTCAGAAGTGTTGATCTCTCTAATCTGTGACGGCCCTCTGTGCACAGAAGGTATTTGACCTGTCTACAGCAGGACCTATGATCTGCAGTCTGGGAAAAAGCCTGGAGAGCCATGGCCTCGTCTCCCTCACCCCATGCAGATCGCAGACCTTATCTGCTGGTGCAGATGGCCACATGAGTGCTTCTTGCTTTGATGTGACCAAGTCACATCCAAGTGTCCCCAGCAGAGCTGTTCTGCGGGTGGCTTGGTCCCTTTTCTTATAGTTACTGCTGGGATCACAGCTATGAGACCAGCTTAAAGTCCTCTGCCCTTTACTGTGTGTGATGTGACATTCATTTCCCTCTTGCAGTGCTCAGACCCACATCTGGAAGTCTGTCCCCTCCCCAGCTCTACCACCCGCAGCATTATTGGCATAGTGCCGGTGCAAGGGTGAGTCAACATTTCCTGCTGCCTTGCTATATGGGGACCCACAGACAGTTTATTTTGGCAGGAATTTGGGCTTTAAAACCCCCAGGAGACTGGGGTTATCCTGGAAGATGTATCCTCTGCAGTAAGTGCCTGATTCGGTCATTAGAGCTAAAGGATGGAAAAAGAAATGCCAGTTCAAGGATGAAACTTGGCTCCATGGAGATACCTGAGCTTTGTCTGCACTAATACTTGTAGTAATAGGAATTAAATTGGCTCATGTAGACACGGCCCTGAAGGGCAAGAAAACAACTTCACATTTCCTTTTGAACCTCTCTTTCAAGCCAGCCCTTTTTCAGACTTCAGGTGGTGTCTTTACTGCTGTTTGTTATGCTGTTGCCTGGAGGTCCTCACTTGCATGGCAGCCTGCTGTGCCAAGAGCTGTGTGCATGTTTAGGAGGGAGACCCACATGGAAGAGATTAAAATCTATGCAGACAGAAAAGGGAACACTTCATTTTGAGAATGAGGGGCTGGCTTGGGGTTGCTGTGGGTTAAATTCAGATGGGACATGGCTGTGGTCCCCAGTGCTCCTCTCTGGAGAGCTCTGTTTGATGGTAGGACTTGCTGCATGAGAAGTGGCCCCCAAACCACATGCTCATACCTGAGCAATGCATGCATCTATGTCCCTCCTGACATTAGGTTACTTCAGCATACCTGGCTATAAAATGCTTGGCTTAATCCACGTGTGCTTCTGGGGGAGCATCTCAGGGCAGGAAAAAAAGGCTTGTCTGTGTGGCCACAGGCAGAATAAGATCCTGCCTCTCCTAAAGCAAAATCTGGTGTTTAGCCACAAAAAGCTCAGGAAACAGCTTTTCCAATCCAGTGCGCTCATCTTGGCTGCAGTCTGTTCAGGGAGAGGCATCCACAGCTCCTGCCTGGCAGGTGGGTCTCATCCTGCATTGAGCAGCAATGCTCTGCCTTCATTATTTTTCAGGATAAAAAGGTTTTCATGCAGTCTTGCTGAATAACAAGTTCCTGTGTCACCAACTCTTGTCATCATCCACGTTAGCCTTTGAAAAGCCAAATGCTTTGCCCATTGTCTTTGTAGGTAAAACAAAAAGAAATAGCATCTTTCTACATCCTCTGGAAGACAAAGCCTTCCAGAGCGCAGATGACAGCTTTCTTGCAAGCCTGGCTCCTCAGCAGTTTGAGTGCTGTGCATCTGATCAAGCTCTCTGCAACCTCAGATTAACACTGTCAAGCATAATGAAGGGGGCAAAAATATCACTGTGTCAATAGGGGTGAGGTGGATCAAGCTGTCTCCACTTGAGGAGACGTGTGCCTGTCTCATGATGGCCATTCTGGCTTTTGTGTCATTTAAAAAAGCACTATTCAAATCCTGATTCTTCCACAGGCTTCTCTTAGCAGGAGAAATGGACCCCAGTTCCCTTGGTCACACTCAGGACTGAATGTGCATCCATGCTGCAAAGGCATTTGGAGTGGATCTGGAGTTCCATGTGCCCAGATTAGGTCTCCAAAGCACAGAAGTCCCTCAGTCTCTCTTCTAGGTTGGGCCCATTTCCAAGGTAAATGCACGTATTCGCAGACAAGCTGTGGAAATGAATGCCTTGTCTGCTCTGGGGAAGAGCACAGAGGTCTGGAGAAATATTATTACAGATGCCTGGCTGGAATGACTATTCCTGCCTTTTCTAGGGGCTGTACCCCCAGCAGGACAGCACCGAGCGGTTTCGGTGATGCATTAACAGCAAGACTAGTATGTCAGCTATTCTTCCCAGCAGGACTTTATGCTGAAGGATCTTTTAATTGCTGCCTCTCTGTTTTTGGTGACGGCTTCCCAAGTGAGCAATGAGCTGTGGGAAACCTTGGACCATCCTGTCTCCATTGTATGCTCTGCACACCTAACCTTCCCCTGCTTAACCACATGGCCTGGGAAGAGCTGGTAGCTCCTTGTTGGGACAGCAGAGCTCTCCCGATGGTTTAAAGCAAGAATGAGGAATTGCAGAAAATAAGCAGTCATAACCTATGCTTCATTAGCACACTCACCTGGGCGCTAGAGTCCCTTTTATCACCCTTACCCGTGCTACTGGACACTTCTTTCAGTTAAGTAGGGAAAGTCCCACAAGCTCTGTCAAAACGGCATTCAATCTGCACATGGGAAACCTGAAGCAATGCTTTCCTAGTTTGTCTCCAAAGGGTTTAAAAGCAGCATAGGAAGTCATTTAGGAATACACACGGGGGAAGGGGGAAAAAGGTGTTGGTTTGGTACGGGTCAAGGCATTCAGCTTTGGCAGGAGAGTGCTGCTGGTTTGCTGCTGTCTGGTATCATCTTCCAGCTCCATGTATGAGCTCTCCACCGTACACCCTGTGTCGTGCGGCTGCTGTGTCTGCTCTACTATGGGCATGAACTGCCTATGGGGCAGAATGTAGAGTCCTAAATCCCATAGGAGACTTGAAAGAAGGCAATACTCTCCAAATCTGTATCCCTTAGCTCAAGATGCTTGGGTCTAGAGTGTCTAAATCCATTCCCCTTTTCAACCTGTGTGTGAAGCCAGCTCACACAGATGTGGCCAAGCGGTTTCTTTGCTCCCTAAATCTTTTAGACAAATCTTTAAGAGCAATATATAGGTCATATGGATTTCTTTCATGATCTCTTAGCACTCCATGACTTGGAGATCATCGTGGCTTGAAAGTTTTTCTCACACTTCAATGTTTTGATTATCCTGAAAATCACTTCAGCAACAAGTTTGGTCCCTTCTCCTGCAATAATGTCTGAATAAATCATCTCTGATGTTAGTACATATGGCATATCAAAGCAATCTGGCTTAGTCTGTGAAATATATTCTGTATTAATCTCGCCTTACCTGTAAGTGAGGTAGCAAAGCATCCGCAAACACACAAACTACTTGATGTTTTTCCTCTGAATCAAGGAAACCTGTCTCTGTGGTCCTATTATCTCCTCTTATTAAGTATGTTTTCATGCTGTGCTTTTTTTTGTGCCCACAGTCAATAACAATTTAAATGATACTCTTTGATGACCTTTGTTCACATCATTTATTTCCATCTCTTTATCTGATTTTGCCAACAGGACCTAATTTGAAAGAGGCTGCAGTTCAGCGGCAGGAGGGATTTAAACACTGTTAAGACTGACATTTTCCCTCATCTCACATCCCGTGGGGTACCTGATTGCAAATTTATAATACACCAGAGGTCTTGCCATCGGAAGATACAGCCTTACAGTAACAGCAACTAATTTAAAATAGATCTCCAGTGCATCAGTGTCTGGGGCTGGTTTACACAGACTAATTAATCCTTATTTGACCTGAATTAACTCTTAATCTGTGTGAAATGAAAGAGCTTTACCGGGATACAGAAAAATTTGAAAGATGGAAAACCCTTTCAGAGCAGGAGGTTTCTGCGGCTCAGTCACTTGTGGATTAAATACTTGTTGGCTGCTGCTGTGGAAAATCAGACCCTTCATTTATTTTCTATTCTGACCCCCCCCGTTATTGACCAGAAAATACAGGAAGGGGCGGAGGATTTATTCGCTACCCTTGGTAAGCGATGCAGAAGCAGAGCAGAAGAGTTGTCCCTGCTGTTTCCTGCTGGTATCTCGGGTTTAGCCAGTAAATCTGCAGGATGGCACAAGGGAGACCATATTGGAACAGATCTTCCCTTTGATGTCCCCAGATTGCACAGTCCCCAGGTGAGAGATGGCTTCACTTGGGAGCAGTTGCCTTGGTAAGGACTGCAGATGTGAGTACTGGGTAAATACAGAAAGATCATAACAAATGCTCCTGATGTAGCCTGCCCAAAAGCAGGGGGATGTCCCCACCCCATATCTTTGGGACAGGGGGGATTTGTCCAGTTGGAAAACAACCCAGGCTTTCAGGCTTAAAAGTTGGTCCATCAGGTTTGATAAAATAACAAGCTCAATCAGATGTCCTCTTGTGCCTCACAGGACGCTCCTAGAGCACAGGATGAGCCCATGGCTCATCCAAGCTGATCTCAAGAATCTAAATAAATGAACACATCCTGGTCCATAGTACACCATGATGTACTTAAGTAGGTTAAGTAGGGTGTGCTGGGTTGGAAGTGGGATGTGGAGACCAGAGCCTGAGGCAGGATAAGTCAAGGCTGCCCTGAATGTGACTGTGCTTTCACTACTGAGCTCTGGGATCCTGTTCAGCGTTCATGCATGTGTTAAGGGCTAGCTGGAACTTTGGGAAGCTGTAGAAAATAAGTGAATGGTTGGAGAAGGTTGGACCTGCACATCTAACCTGGTGTTCTGGTTAGATCTCATGGCATGCTGTGCCCAATGCCCCTGCTTGTGGAGACATAAGCTCCCTCAGAGCTTATCACTGGTTTGTTCTTGTCTGTATTTCATTGTGCAAAGACAGTTGAGAGGTGCTTGGGGATGATCAGAAGACCATATAATGTCATGATGTGCCAGGTGAGATGCCTCTCCTGATGCTAGGAAGGCAGCAACTTGCTTTTCTCCTTTGTTCTTTGCACACTGTTCCCTCACCCCTGCTTACCTATTACTTACTCTGTTTGAAACTCCAGCTAATACAGGACCATCACACCTTGTCTAAATACCTAAAACAAAGGGCAGCATCCTTATTTCTGGTTCCTGAGCATTGCCCTGTCCAAAATCACCCCGGACACCTGAGGCAGGAGCCTGGTGTGAGCCCCAGTCACCTCCATAGTAAGACCTTCCCTACAAATGTTGCTGTGAATGCCATTATTATTGCATTAAATGTCCATTGCCCCAGCAGAGAGGTGCTTTCAAAAGATGCTACCACATTATGCAGAATAAATGTCACCCTCTCAAATGAGCAAGCTGTCGAAGGCTTGAGGTACCATTTAAAGGTTAGCTGGTGTTGCTTGTATCTCTATTTTCAATTACCCCCACTTGTTGGCTTTGAAGTCTTTAGTATGGAAAATAAATCGTAGCTCAATGTGCTGCTCCATCATTCAGTAATGCCTCATGTGACAGTCTCAGAAGATCACAAGATTATAGTGATAAGGGTCTAGTTTTAAAATGTTTACCGTTTCCCAGTTGGCTCTTTGACCTTGGACTGCATTAATGTGCCGGTTTTAGGTCTGTTGTGCCATTTTTAGGTCTAATGCCAATCTCTGTCTTGCAACATATCATCATTTTAATGCCCGATTTTCCACTCTGAATTATGGTAATTTATTGTAATAGTGTGATTTGACCTTTTCAGTATTTCCTGGTTTTATTGGCTAGATGTTTTGTCCCTTTCTCCAGAGGTTAGCAGGACTTTTGGGGTAGCAGAAGAGGCGAGTGAGCCTATCAAAGCACGCAGCGCTGAAAAGGGCAAAACACAAGAGCCTCCTGCTAATTCAGGGGCTGGGGAACACAGGGAAATTTAAAGGTGATGCTTGTGGCAAACCCCATGCCAAGAAGAGAGATGACATGTTGTCAGCCTTAGAGAGGAAAGGGCATCTTCAGGAGTGGCTGAAGCGATGTCCATGAACCTCCATGTGTGAAGCAGGGCTCTGGAAGGGCTTGTTGTGCCCTCACGGTGCCAGCCCGTGTCTCACCAGTGTGGAGGTTGCTGTCACAGTTTGGTTCCAGAGTAGTGAAATGTCCTTGAGAGTGGATGGGTCTGTTTTTAGAGGAAATCAGCTTTGGGAATTGGAGTGAGCCCTGACGAGGGAGCAGAAATGTAAAAGGCCAAGATGGAAACTGAGAATGTAATCGGAATTGTTTCTCTTGCCCTCTGCCCAGAAACACTGCTTCTCTAAGGCAGGATTTACAGGCACACAATGAGAAAAGAAAGTGGTAGCTTACTGTAAAAAAAAGAGAGAAAGAAATAAAACCCAGAAACACGAAAATAATCCCCTACAACAAAAAGCTTTGATAAAAGCAAAGCTGAGCCTGAGGGTGATGCTGCTTCTTCACCCTGCTTTTCAGCATCAGGTTTGTTCCAGGGGACCCAGCCTTTCCTTTCTGTTTTGGAGTGGGTTGGGCTGGGCTTTTTTTTAAGGACTGCCCCTGGGCAATCCTTTTGAAATAAGTATTTGAGCCTGGCTCTGGAAGGGAACAGCAGAATCGAGCCGTCAGCTTTTCTAATGGCCATACTGCCTTTCTGGGAGCAGCATCTTCAGTCTCTGCTCTCAAGGAGTGGGAAAGCGTTGCAGCGAGGCTGTGACTTGAGCCCTCCAAGGGGCATTTTGGAGCTTTTGCTAATAAGGGCTCATGCAAATATGCATCTAATCCTACCCCAGAGGGGTGGTGGTTGCTGTTATGAAGTTTTGATGGGAAATACATACAGAAAATAAAAGGCAAAGCAACTGCTGAGCATCTCTTGCCCTGAAAGTGGAGGAAAGATATTGAAGCTACTGCAAACAGAGTGTGTTGGAAACACAATAGGATTGAATTTGTCTCCTTGGGTTTGTACTGCTCCTACCAGCATCAGGATCTGGTTCACCCTTGGGCACTTTTGCCACACCAGTCATGAATAATAGAAGCATGAATTTTGTCCAAAACTAGAGGCAAAGCTAATAAACATGCCTGGAGAAGGCATGAAGCCAGTGTTGTCCTGCTTAAATGTGTGGCCTAAGGGGAAGCAGCAGTACCAGCATCCTTCATGTACCAGCTGTAGTCCTGTGTGTCATTACTGACCCCAGAGCACAAGGTGTAGGCCGATGTGATGCATTAACATTAAGGGAGACCATAAAAATGTATATTGTGCGTATATGAAGGTGTATTTTTAGGTGATTTGTTTTCTCCTGAGCCATCCAACTGGTCTCCACCAAAGAGTTGATTTATGGTGTTTACCCGAAGTGATTGGTCCAGCACAGGTGATGGGGTGTAGTTTCCTTGTGAAAGGTCTCCCTTCAGCTGGTGGACATGCAATTCTTCTTGCTCTGTGTCTGCACCAGGTGTTTTATAACAGGCAAATATCCATCCTTTCCAGTTCATCCCAAAGGCCATTTCTATTACCCCTTAGTTGGGTTGCCTGGAAATAACAAAGCTTCCCAGTGCTGAGCTTCAGTAAAATACCCAGAATATCACTTTGTACTTCACAGACAATGCTTTATTTCATTGTCTCTAATGGGATTGTGTTCCCAGAGGCTGGATTTGTCCTGTGGCTTTTCCCAGCAAGCTTACGTTTGACAGTTACACAGTGTCTGGGCTTTAGCTGACACTTTTCAACAAGTCATGCCCCAGGTTACAGCACTGGTAGGAGTTTGGTGCCTCCAAGACTTCCACCCCTCTGTCAAACCTGGCTGAATTTGCCTGTAGCTCATCTCTCCTAATGAGTACTGGTACCTATGGGGCTGTTCCCTTAAGCATGCACAGATGCATTTGTTGTCTTACATGAGAAAACAAAGACAAAAACTGTCTTGATTCTGATCATGCTGGAGCCCTTGAAGAGGCTTGCCTTTATCTGACCCTATAAAGACTGTTTCTGCCCTATAAAATGTTATTTTGGACTTGTGCTGCGTAACAGCTTATTTCAGGAAGTGAAGGCAGCCAAGCAGGGCTGGGGGAACTCGAGGTCTGAGTTAATGGCACTGATTTCCTCCATGATCTGAGACCAGTTTCCTTCATGTTGATGTTCATCTGCCTTAACTGTAACCAGGCCTACAGGGAGTTTTAGCTACAGGCATCAGTCCTCAGAGCTGGCCAGTCCATACCTAAAGGATGATTAATTAAAATACAGTAGATACATACTGTAATTTTATGCTGACAGAGTCATCACCCACTGGAAGGGAAGCTAAACCAGAGGTGGGTATTCCTGAACTGTCAGCTTCCTAAGCAGCCTTTTAACAAAACCTACAGGGGCTGTGATTTTTATTGTGCATCTTCAATCCATTCAGCCAATTCGACAGCAATACAGCTGGAAGTGCACACATGTTAGATAGCTGCTTTGTACATACAGTCACCTTTGTTAGTTTGATGTGCAAATGGTTACTTAGAAATACTAATATCTGCAGTGAGTGGTTTCAAACAGCTACACACAGGTGTATACCTCTAGAACACAGAGTGTGTGTACACTGGGGCCTTTGAAAATGGCTCCTTTTCAGTTTCCATTTGCATCCTGTTACTGAACTGGGACTTTGCACAAATATTTTAAGATAATTGTTTTAACATTTTCATGCTTGCTTTAAAAGTGTATCATCCTCTGTGATCGCAGACAATGGGAATGATTGTTCAGTGGTCTCTTACTCTAATTGAGTCAATTTGCTTTGCTGGGATTTCCCTCTCCCCTGTATTCAGCTCTCAGAGTGGTAGGACCAAACAGAGTGAAGCGGATCTAATTAACTTCTCTCAAGGGTATTGACTGTCTGCAAAGGAAGGGAAAAGCAATGAGGAATACATTATGAGAGCCTGTTCATTGCCAACTCACACACAGTAGCACATCTTCCTCTTGCAAAACCAGGGTTTACATAAAGTTCCTTATTTGATTGTATTTCCTGTTGCATAAAGGTACCAGTGGCTGCGTGAACTCCTATGGTTTCTGAAGACAGGCAGTCAGAAGGAAATAAAGCAAAAGTGCTTTGCCTAAGTGGTGGAAATTAGGAATTTGTAATTAGCCTTTATTTATTAGGAGGATGAAATGGGAAGCGGGTTGGTGTATTATCTGCTCTCATTTAAGGCTTGCCCATGTGTAGGTGTAGAAAATGAGTCTGACTGAAGGTCAGATGCTCCCTTCATCTCCCTTGGATGTCTGTGGGAACAGCAAGGACTTCACATCCATGCTGGCGTGCCCGAAGTCTGGAAAATCCTGTAAACACAAGAAGCTGTTCTGGCAGCAAGCATTAGCCAGGAGCAATGCTACAGATGGGAGCGGGTGGGCTGCCTGGCCAAGAAGCCACTGCCTCCAGCTCAGCTGGAGATGGTGGCATGGGGACAGGAGACTCCTGTCCTGTGATTTCCATCCACTTGGCTTTGGGTGTTTCTAAAGACCAGAAGTTCATCTTAGTATCATAGGAAAATACAGCCACACTGGTTTGTGCCTCAGTTTCCCCACTGGAAACTGTAAAGCGAGTGATCACATGTAGACTCTGAAGGGTTTACCCCATGGATGCTGACCTACAGTATTGCATATTGCTGAGGCATGCAGCGTACCTGTGAGATGGCAGCAGCCTTCATCCCTGAGAGTGTTGGCCAAAAGCTTTCATGTGAAAACAGCCACAAAGCTGCCATGGGCATTATCACCTCAGGCTAATAATGCATGTTTGTAATTGGAAAGTCATTGTCACTCATTGACACAAACTCAAAAGGACTTTCCTGGTACCCTTGGAATTGTGGTGGGAATATTTGCTTGCAGGATGTGCAGTTTCCTTCAGCTATAGCATTGTCATAGGCTCACCTTTGCTTTGGCAGGCAGGAACAGAGGAAAGCTGACATATGGTTACTTTTTACTCTATGAAGCACAAAGTACCCTTTACACTTCTCTCCTCTGAAGCCTTAAGCAGTAAGTAGGTGTTTCTGACCACGGTACTAAGAAGATGTAAATGAAGATAGTGTGTCTGGCTAGCCAGGGTAGCCTGAGAGCATCTGGGAGCTATTTGCAGGTGTCAGAAACTAACAAGGTGCTGGCTTTTCTGCTAAATAGAAATCCTTTCTGAATGTCCCTGCTCCTGACACAAGCTGTTGATTGTCATCTTTATTATACCATGTGCAAGTAAATACGTAATAGCATCTTGCCAAAATGTATTGCCATTCAAATTGTACCCATAATCTGTCTAACGCAGTCTGTGTTTCCTAATGAATACATTTCCCTACCAATTTCTGCAGGATGAGAGCTCTGGTCTTGCAATCTTATTCAGCAGAAGGGCTGCAAATGTGTGTGCCTCTTGAAGGGGGAAAGGATCAGGGATGGAGAAGGGACATAGTCAGCACCTGTGCCAGCACATCATCACGTGAGATTACAAGAGACATTAAAGGTATAACCTGAGCACAATGACCCTTTTCTGCACACAGCT